AGCTTTATACTTTTGGAGGCTAAGCAGAAATGATCTAAACTGCAGTTGGAGTGACTCAGCTAGGGGCTTGCTTCCCTATCTATTGCCCAATGCTGAGGGCAATTGACTGGGGTGCCTATATCTAGCTAGAGGCAGAAACAACAGTCCAACAGGACACAGGCAGTGTTGGGTTGTATCAAGTACACTGGGTTCCACCCCAACCTCTCAGACAACTGAGTCATGGAACCATTCAAAACATGGTAATATTTGCCCCAACAATTTCATAGGATTTCATTGAAAATGTCAAAAGCACTTTGAAAACCATAAAGTACAATAAAAATATAGGTTATAAACATAAAATATAAAATGGACTCTATTATAACTCAGAAATAGAATTCAACAGAATTTTTTCTTGCTTTTTTGTTTTGTTTTGTTTTTTTGGTACCTGGATTGGAGGCAGGGGGCAGAAGAACCACTAAGCTAAATCCCCAGCCCTCACAAATAGAATTCTACTATAGTACTTTGTATCCTTTTTATTTTTGTTTTCAGTTGTTTTTCCCAGACAGGGTCTTGCTATGTAGCCAAGATTGGCTTTGAACTTGCTATGTAGCCAAGTTAACCTCAAACTCCCAGTCTTCCTGTCTTGGCTTCTTCAGTTCTGGGAATGCATCATTATGTCTGGTTAATAATGTTTCTTGTCATATTTGGAAAGCTTAGAGACATGATATATACTATTTTATGAGGTTAAAATAATTAATTGGGACACCATTTGACTGGGCATCCTGGATTCCTACATAAGGAAACCAAAATTCAGTTTGATGTAAACAAGAAAAGGAAACTTAATGAGAAATTGCCAACTAACTACTGAGAGGATTTTCTTTGCCAGGGCTCCACAGTCACTCAATTAAACTTTCCATTGGCTGGACTGGTGGTACATGCCTGTAATATCAGCACTAGGGAGGCTGAGGCAGGAGACCACAACATTGAGGCCACCCTGGGCCACATTGTGAGTTCAAGGCCAGCCTTAAACTACATCATGAGACCTGTTTCAAAAAACCAAAAAAGAGCCCTTCCCCCGTATCACTTTAAAGGAGCCCCAAAGTGCCTGCCAGCTAGAGCTGATTAATCAATGTCCAAATAAACCTTTAAAATTTTAATGTGCCTCACTTTGTCTTTTAAGAATGGTAATAGGGCCAGAGTTTAGCTCTGAGGTTTTGCCACCTGCCCTGCAAAAACACAAAGGCCCAAGTTCAATCCCTGGTACCAAAACAAAAAAAATAACGATGATGATATGAAAACATTTATCCAACAAGTACTTCTGAGAGGTATTGACTATAATTAAGTCTCTTCTGACAATGCTTAGACTCCCTGATATGATTTGAGTGTTTCTAAGAGTTCGTGTCATTGTGAGGGAGAGGGTAGAAATTTAATCCAACTCTGGCATTTGGAGGTGGGGCCTTTGGGAAGTGATTAGGATGAAGATTGTCAAGATGGAACACCTGATGACTGAGTACTTATATATATATATACACGCACATATATATATATGCATATACATATATACGCACATATATATATATACACACACAAACATATAAAACTGTCCATATCTATTTTACTTTTTTGACATTTATTAGTACATGTTTGCAGTACATAATTATTACATTCACTCTAGGATATTGGTACATGTACCAATATATACACAACATATTTCAACTCCCTCTTTCCCCTTCCTCTACCCTACTTTTATTTTTCTAGTATCAGACTCATTTATTTCTTATAAGACCTTATAAAGCTAATTGTCATATATACACATTGAAAATCAGACCAATAGATCAAAGAACATATAAAACATGCAAGACAACTATACTAAATTGAGGCACTGGATTATAACACCTTTTTTTTTCTATGTTTTTTTGTATGATCTGTCATTTATTTTGATATATATATATCTATAGACATATAGATATATATATTTCATATAAGAGAAACCTAACATCATGGTCTCAAGGTGTATCCTATAAATCACTCAAATGATATTTAAACATGTGTGTCTGCTTTATTTGACTTAACATTAGTCTCAAGGTGCATCCATGTTAATACAAATGATTGGTTTTGCTATTCTGGGTCTCTTCTGGTCCCCCATGTATTTGAGCACTTGAAATATCAGCAAATACTCTGAGGAATTCTTTGAGCATTGTGATTGGGATTGCATTAAATCTGTGTGTCAATTTTGGAAGTATAGCCATTTTAACTATACTGGTTCAATAAATCCAGGAACACAGGATATCTTTCTATTTTCTAATGTCCTCTTGGATTTCCTTTTCAGAGTAGTGTATTTTTTATTTTAAAGATCTTTCACTTTCTTAGGTTAATTTCAAAGCACAGTATTTTTTCCTGCTGTTATTGTGAATGGTATTTTTTTTCCTAGTTGCTTTGACAGAGGGTTCATTATTGGTGTACAGAAATGCCACTGATTTTTGTGTTGATTTTGTATGCTGCTACATTGCTGAATTTGGTTATTAATTCTATGAATCTTTTTGTGGATTTTGGGGTCTTCTATGCAGAAGATCAGGTCATCTGCAAATACAGTAATAATAATTAGACTTATTTCTTTCTCATACATATCCCTTTTCCGCTTTTATCTCTTTTTCTTGCCTAATCGCTCTTCCTAATGCATGTTACACCCTATATTATTTTATTCCTGGAATGTTACCTAAATACTATCACAAGAAATGACTAAAAAAATTATCCAGAATAAGACTGAAAGAACAGTTTCTCTGTACTGAAAATAGTGGTACTCAACCAGCTCTATTATTTTGGTATAGACAGCAGTGGTGAGGAGGAATATATGTTATCTTCTACCATTTTTGGAGGGAGGGTACCAAGGATCAAACTCAGGACCTTGCACTTGCCAGGCAGGCACTGTGCTGCTGAGCTACATCCCCAGCCCCTCTTTGACACTTTTGAAAGTTAAACTGACACAGAGCAGATTAATAGAAGAAAGGCACACAAATTTTAATTTTTAAATGTATATGAGGACGCTTACAAGAGAATGAAAGCCAGAAAAAATGGCCAAAGTAGAAAATGTTTTATATCATCTAGTCAAAAAAAAAAAAAAACTAAACTAAAAACGATAAATTCATGAAGAAATGACATGACAAAGGGGCTTGGGTTGTGTGTGGTAAACTGTTCGTAAGTCTCTAACAGATACATTTACTTTACCTATTTCCTGGCTATACCACATTTCCTCTTCTTGCTCGAACATCTTTATAATTTAGTTTTGGAAGTGTTCCCTGTGCATTCTCAACCTTATCCTTTTATTATCAGAAGCATGACCACATAAATTTTGGGGAAACATCATTTCATAATTAAAGTATGACTACAGATGTCTGAGGCTCAAAGTACCTTGCCCCTGAGACAGCGACAGCAGGCAGAAACATAACTCCATTTTGCCCTGGGTCACAGCTGAGGCCTCAATGCTTCTGTGAGGCTGTGGTGCTCACCAGCAAGATTATATCATCTGAAGACATCCCATTTCTTTGAGAACTGAGTAGTAATATAAAAGAGAAAGGTTTACCTGGGGAGGGACTAATTCTTTGTCAAACTTAAATCACCCCACTCACTATTGTTAGAATGTTCTCCATACAGTCCTCCTCAACAGAACTTTGTGACTTAAGATCTTCATCCAATCCTCATGTACATTGACTGTCGCCCCCCTGAGTCACCTGATGCTCCCTCCAATTATTGTGTGCGCCCAATAAATAGTGGCTAGCTTTGAGTGTCTTAGTCTTTGCCCAGTCTGAGGCACTGACCTCCTGGCTCCCCATATACTTTAAAATTACACAAGTCTCTATTGTCTGTTTTCTCTTCAGCCTTTGCTATTCCCTTTTCTAGGTAGTCAGAGGATTGACTGCCCCTGATATCTGAAGTCAGTTCAAATATTTTGCAAATGGTTTCAAATCAAAGACTAGCCATAGTGTTATGATCATATTGTTTCTGATGCATACAATTTTTGAAATACAGACCTGGTTTCAACATGCAGCTGTCATTTTGTGTAATCTTGAGGAAAATATTACAAGTTTTTGTCACTCTGTTTCCTCATCCATGAAATGGACATGAGATCTCCCTCAAAAAATTATTTGGAAAGGTTAAAAGAAATGCTGTACCTATAAAGTACCTGGTACATAACTGCTCAGCCATCATTATTATCTCTTTTCTGCTCAACCTCAATTCCTCACTCCTTTCGTTTTCTCAAATTCTTTAAAAAAGTATGGTGTCACATCCATGTCTTTATCCCTAACATTTGACAATGCTTAGCTACTGCAGAATATTCCCGATTTGTGGAATTAATTAATGACTAAAGGACTGAAATAGGAAGTTGAAGCTGTCACTAGGATATCTGAAAATTTTACCCTTAAATTAGAATTACAGCAAAGAAAGGAGGGACTAAATTTAAAGTCTGAGAATGCAACAATTTCTCAGAGGCAAGTCAGCTTTAGTGGCAGGAAGACTTTTTGAAAGATACACAAAAAAATAAAAGACGGAGAGCCATTACACTGACAGCAAAATTCCCGGATCACGCGTTAAGGGAGCCTAGATTTGAGCACACTGCCTTTTGACAATAACGAAAACCTTATCACATTGAGTGTTTTGGACATTTTTGTCCATTTCTCTCCGTAAACTTTGGTATAAGCTTCTCACTTTACTATGAATACTCAGCAGTGTTTAATGCACGGCTAGAGATCAATCAATGCTTAGGGAATGAATGACAAGGCACAAAAGACAGTGAAACAGCCAGAAGACCTAGTGGAACTGGAGATGAATCCAACGTAAGTCTTACACAGCGCAGGAAGCAGAGGAACAAATTCCCCCAGAGGAGCACGAACATTATTTCCAAATACTGGGTTTCCCACCCCATAATCTGAAGGGAAACAGGAAGGAAACATGTGAAAGAACCCTCCTCACATTATCTGTGTTCCCAAAACATAGCATAATAGAGCGTTCACTTGCTTACTCACATTAAGCCACAAGCAGATAGCGCCACACACCGCAGACCTCGTCAGGCAGACAGGGGCGGGAGGTCCCGCCTCCACCCTACATCAGCCAATCCGGACTGCCAGACTCGGTGGTGCAGGGTCTTCTGGGAAGGGCCTTCTAAACCGAGGCGTTCCTGCTCCTACGGACTACAACTTCCGGGGGTTCACCCGCTGCAAGCTCCTCCCACCTCCGTGGGGACCAGTCCGGGCCGGCGGAATTGGGCCGGAGCCTCCTCCACACTGTGCTGGGCCTCGTGCTTCACATATGGTGGGGAGATTTGGGCAACCCCGCTTTGGTTCTCCCTAACTTCCCTGACTTCGCGGACGCTGGGCCAGCTTCCTGCTGAGATGGCAAAGGTCAAGTCGGGGGCGAGCGTCCGTCGCCGCCGGCGGCAAGAACAGCGCCGGGACCTCAAGAGCGCCGGAGGTGTGGACTGCTGGGAGGAGGAAGCTGGGCCCGGCGGGGAGCGAGACCTGAGCCGCCGGAGCGGAGGATCCGGGGTGGGGGTGGGCAGGCCCTTGCCGGGTCTGCTAGGGTTTTGGCAGCTGGAGGGAGCGACTCGGAGAAGTTAGCCTCAGCCGAGGACACAACGTTTGCCCCTGGCACCGAACGCTTGCTTCCCCTACCCCCCCCCAACTCCTGCTTGTTTCTTTGTGCGACTTGATAGCTAATCTTATTGGGGAAATTAAGGCTGATTCCTGTCTTCTTCCAGGACTCACTTTCAACACGGGGATTGGGCAGCACGTTTTGAAAAATCCTCTCATTGTTAACAGTATTATCGATAAGGTGGGTGTGAAGGGGAAACTTGTTGGGTTAATTTTACTCTTCAGTATACTTAAGCGAAGGCAGAGTGCTTCGCTTAAAATAGATGTGTAAATATTTGTTGAATTAAAGAATTATGTAAGATTCTGAGACTTTTTCATGATATGATTCATTCTATTCTGATCCCAAATTTTGCGTCTTTAGATTATCTACATTCTAGGTAGCTTTTTGTACTTGTTCATTCCAGATTATTATTTTTCTAGTCACTTTTTCAGCACCCTATCACTATTAGTTTTTATTTGTTGCAGTCAAAACTACACATTAGGAAGTTTCCCAGAAAAGCATATGGTACTACATGTAAATTATTTGGGGTATTTCAGTGCCAAATGAAATGTTTAGAATGTTCTAGTAATGTGGGTTGATAATTCTCTTATTTTATGGATGATTGAGTAATAGGCAATGAAATAGAGATGTGCAGATTACTTTTATGGTTTCAAGGGAAGCATAATGGAATTGTAGAAAGATTACAAAGAATCTTGTCTTACATAGTAATCCGATTTTACAGAATATTACAACTGTCTTGTGTTCATATGTTCCTGAACTCATACATGGGTTAAGAATTGGGAAGTCGCTGTCCAACATGCTATGATTCTCAGGCAAGTTCATCATATACAGCCCTCTCTCGTTTTAATTTGTTGATATAAAAGAGTTGGCTACAAGACTACTGAAGTCATTTAAGTAGAAAGCTGAAAGCCAATCATGCGAATTCTTGGGTTTTTTGCCTTCTAAAGTTGAGTATTCCCCCAGGTTAGAAGAGAACTGTGGGTTTTCATCAGCACATGATACTGAGGTATTTTTGTAAACCATATATATCGTGAAGAAATCTAACAATTTTAGAAATCTCAACACTAAAGGAACAAAGATGTTGAGGTGTAAACTTTCAGGTGTGCAGGGAGAACTAAATAGCTATGCTTGCTTTTAGGCTGCCTTAAGACCAACTGATGTGGTGCTGGAAGTTGGACCTGGAACTGGTAACATGACTGTAAAGTTATTAGAAAAGGCAAAAAAGGTAAAAAGGAGATTTTAAGCTTTTACTGTCAGAAATGACTGACAAGCTTAGCTGAATTGCACATGTAACCGTTTTGATTGCTGTTGATTTTTTGTAGACATTGTTTCTTAGAAAATAATATAAGGAAAGCAGAAACCACATTTGGTACATCAACAAGGAATTTAGCCTAGGGAATTGGTTATGTGTTTGTTAGAGTACTAAAAGAACAAAATGGGAACGCTCAGCTCAAAAATATTTTTTAAGAACAGTTAACCTCAGGTCCTAAAGGATCAAAGCAAAGAAGTTGGAGCTAGTGGAACTCTGAGATTAAGGTACCTGCCACCTAGCCACTACCAGTAACTTGTGTCTTAACTGACCCAGCTTCCATTGTTGTATCTTTGATTGAAGTAGGCAACATATTTTAAACAGCTTAGCAAAAGTGTTTAATAAAAAGACTAGAGATATTTGGAAATGGGGTCCAAGGGAATTGGTAAACATTAGTGAAATGCTAGGAACTAGCCAGCCACAGCAGGAAGCTTTTAACCACCCAAGGTCTCTGGAAGAGGGAGGGAACTGTTACCGGCCCTGTGCCTATGCTTTTCACTGGTCAACTCCAGCCAAACGTCTTAAGGATAATGGAGCTGGACTGCTGGACAGGGCACAGAAAAGGTAGATGATATAAACAGTCAGAAGCATGTGTTTTTACTCTGTAGACACAGTCTTGAAGTCAGTGAAACCTCAGCTGATACTGCAATAATATTACAATTTCTCCCTTATCTGGTATTCATTTTCATTTACTTGAAAAGTTATTTATGTCATGTGTTCTGGATTTCCACTGATAAGAGAAGCCACGTACTAATTCTAGGAGTAGTTGCCTTATATGCTTCTGACCCAAGTCTACTTACACATTGTGTATTCTTTTCATTACCTGTTAACTTACAAAGCATGGGTACAGATGAAACATGATAATTCTGTTAATTATTTGGGTAGAACTTTCACATACTCTTGTCTACTAGGTTTTCTAGGTAATTTGTTGATTTGAAGCTGTAAAATGCATTTAAAGGAATATTGATGGTACAATTGGAAAAAATGTTAAATCGTGTTTAGAAAGGATTTATACTTAGTAATTAAACCTAAAAAAAGTTTTTGTTTTTAATTTAGGTAGTTGCCTGTGAACTTGACCCAAGACTAGTAGCCGAACTTCACAAAAGAGTTCAGGGCACGTGAGTATACATGATAGAATTGAAGTAAATTTCAAGTTTATGAAACAGTATTCTTTTAAAATTTCTTTTTTATCATCAGACCCCTAGCCAGCAAACTTCAAGTGATGGTGGGTGATGTGCTAAAAACAGATTTGCCATTTTTTGATGCTTGTGTGGCAAACTTGCCTTACCAGGTACGTCCTCAAACAGTCAGAAACGTTCCAAGTGCTTCTCTGGTTTCTGAGTGTCTTTTTTGAAAGTAATTAGTAATTCTTTTACAGATATCATCTCCTTTTGTCTTCAAACTGTTGCTGCACCGACCTTTCTTCAGGTTTGTAACTGAAAACCAGAATTACTGCCAAATTTTAAGAAAGATTGACAGTTTAAGTCAGGAACACAGCTGAAAATAAAAGTCAGGCCAAGTGAAAAACTACTGAAAGTTGTGTAAAAAATCTGATTTGTATAGAGATCTGAGTTAGCAAAAGTTGGGGGGGTGCCTTTTCCTATTTTCTAATCCTCTGCCATTATCCTAGATCAGGCTTTGTATTACCATGTCTAGATAACTGCAGTGTCTCCCTTAACTGATCTCTAATACAGTTTATACTAGTAGCTTTCAAACTGCTAGTTACAAAGTAAAGGTAGTCATGACCATTTTTTTTAATGACATAGTATATATCTGAAGGCACTTTGTGTGGTCTAGGTGATTATGGCTTCTTGAAACTTGTTGAAGGTATACAAATACATATACATCGATATTTTTGCAATGCACATTTTTTCTTTTTTCTTTTTTTTTTAGTATGGGTGTTGAACTTACAGCTTCATAGTACATCTTCAGGTCTTTTAAAATTTTTTATTCTGAGATAGGTTCTCACTTAAGTTACTGAGTCACTGAGGTTGGGCCTGAACTTGGAATCCTCCCGTCTCAATCTTCACAAATGAATTTTTTAGTTTGACTCATTGTTAAGAAAGTTAGAGCTGGGTGAGGTGGCGCAAGCCTGTAATCCCAGCACTTGGGAGGCAGGAAGTTCACCAGGGAGTTAAAGGCCTTGGCTACTAGGTAGTTCAAGGACCAGCCTGAACTGCATAAGGAGGCCCCGTCTGAAAAAACAAAAAAAATCAAAGTGCATTTTGGAAGACGGCCTTCTGTTTGTTAGCTTCCAAAACCCTTCCCAAAGTTTACTGAAGACAAAGTTCTTTTTTTTTTTTTGGTACTGGTGATCGAACTCAGCACCTTGCGCTTGAGAGTCAGGTGGCACCACCACTGAGCTAAATCCCAGCCCCTAAGACAAAGTTCTTTAAAGTGCTAAACCAAAGGGACACTGTAGTTCGCAACTTCCTTCTATATTCTCACCGCTTCCTTAAGAATGCTGCATAGTTCAATATAATTCTGCTATGGAGTTGATTTTGTTTTCATAGAATTGGTGATGAACTAGTGAAATCCAAAATACTTGTTCACATGATCATTGAGGGTTAGATTACTTCCTAAGAGTTAGAGTACAACTGGTATAAAGCAAAGCCAATGGTCTCATTTTTTGGAATTAAGGCTAAGGCAGAAAATGTTATACTTTCTGATCAGCCTGTTATTAACCACAGATGCCACTTTGCTGTTTTCCCTCTCAAAAAAAATCTTTTTAATTAAAATTTTAGTTGAAAATGACCATGTCCTTATTCCTTTCGGTTTCTCTTCTGGTATAGATGTGCTGTACTTATGTTTCAAAGAGAATTTGCTCTCAGACTAGTTGCAAAGCCTGGGGATAAGTTATACTGCAGACTGTCCATTAATACACAACTGTTAGCTCGTGTGGACCATCTAATGAAAGTAAGTGATTTTTATTATTAAAATAATCTAGCTTATCTCATTCTTGAGCACCTCGCTTTGCCTTCTATTAGGAAAATATCTTTGATTACTGAAACTTGCCTTTGAGAGGACTAACATTTTCTGATTAACAGGTGGGAAAGAATAACTTCAGACCACCACCTAAGGTAGAATCCAGTGTTGTAAGAATAGAACCTAAGAAT